ACCCTCACCCCCGCAAAGCCGCCAGCGCAGAGCTGGGCTGGCAGGCTCTTTGTCACCGCCTTTCCCGGAAAATGGAGGTGCAGGGAGCTCTGCTCGGGCAGGCGCGCAGGCAGGCGCACCCCACGGCTGGGCACGGCGGACCGGCCTCCCCATCGCTCCGAGGCACACAGCCCGGGGGTGCCAAGCAGCGAGGATGGGTTTTCTAGTAAAGCGGGCCACAACGAGGGGAAAAGGCTCAAGCCTTTTCTTGTCTGTTGGCAACGCAGGGCTGATGGCATGCACCACACCGGCCACGGCTAAAATTAGCTCCCACCGCGGATGGGGCATATCCAGGGGCGAGCCGGCCCCACGCGGGGCAGGGAGGGCTTTCCCGGCTGCTCAGGAAGCCGGAGGGAGGGAGAGGGAGCGGGAGAAGCTGTCCCAAGGTTGGCTCTGAGAGATGGGCACAGCCCTGCCGAGCGGGGATGGCCGAGGCGGGAGGCTGCCCGTGGTACTCCGTGGCACACTTGCCTCCTTCTCACTGCCACACCGGGTGGCTCGGCCTCGCCGCATGGCTGGTGTCGCAAGGGAAGACGCGTCGCTCGTTATTCTGTTCCTCTCCGCCTTTAGTCATCCCCCTCCTCCCCTTGGCTCTGCATCACGAAGGTGGGTGGACGGAAGGTTATCTGGGGCTGCCGCCTCACCCACCGCTTCCCCAGCGTGCCTGACGAAACCAGCCCAGGGGATGCTTCCATTTTGGGCTGAGCGCTTCTCGCTCTGGGCCAAATTTAGAGGCAAAAGCTTTGTTTTCAGGGATTCTTTGGAGCATCCTCTGTCCTCAGCCCACAGCGGGAGCAGGGGGAGAGCTGGCAGGGTCGCACAAGAGGCAGCACTCGTTGCTCCCCCATTTCATAGCCCCAGGCAAAGATTCCCTCTCCGACAGCAACAAACCATGAGGGGATTCCAGTGCTTAGCAGCCAGGGCCAGCATGGACCATACCCAGGTCCTTCACCAGGTCCCCAGCGGGACCCAACAGCCCCTTCTCACTGCAGGAGGAGCACCCTGCTGCCTGCAGGTGAGGCTGTCCCCTTGCTGCGGTGTTTGGCTCCCAGAGATGACCTCAGTGTCCCCCAAAAGAGCTGGTATGTCACTGCTGTTAATCCTTGTCCTTGTTGTAAAGACAAGGGCAAATGCAGCAGCATTTTTGGGGCAATAACTGAGGAAACACTGTCCGCAGAGGGATGTGGCTTTGGGTTTACCCACCATACACTTGTCCACAGCAGGAGTTGCCCCTGTGTCTACGTCAACCCCAATGCCAGCTAAGAAATCCCTTGAACTCCATTTCAAGGTTTATAAAAATAAAAATAAACACCTCCCAGGTCATTTCCTGGTTTTGTAGCTAGCACAGGAGTGTACCCTTCCATAGACAGGCACAACAAATGGCTGGAGACCATTTTGCACAGTCTCACCTGCCTTGCTGGGGCCAGGCTGGATCTCCAGTGACAGTAAGCAGCTTTTTTTTGATCTGGGCATGGGGTAACCAGAATCCAACTTAGAGGAAGGAAAGCATCCTCAGACATTTCACTGCTGAGTGCCTCCTTGTCACGTGCTGGCCAAATCCCAGCCGGCAGGAGAGCATCCGGGAGCGTTGCGTAGTGAGAGCTACGCACTGGTGGCTCCCGGAGATGCCATGTGCTGTGTCATGAGTGGCATAAAGTCAGAGCGGAGACCTCTGCGTCGCTGCAAGAGCTGATGCTGAGCCCAGATTGCTGGGGAGAAGTGTGAGCCCCAGCTGGCTGCTGGTGCTAGATGATCCTGGGGAGCCTGAGCTCCGGTTTGGCCCTCCTGGCCACAAGTCCCCCAGAAGGGCAGAGCTCCCCATCGCCTAACGCTGAGCACTGGGGCCGTGGGCAGCGGGGAGAGTGCTTGGCCCGAGCCCGTTTGTGTACGAGAGAGGCAGGCACGATAGGATGTGACTAAGTGTCAGCTCTTCCGCATGAGAAAACAAGGCGAGGAGCCATCTGATTTTCAAGGCAGAGCAGAAAAAGCAGGAATTGTCCAGTTGCATCAAGCACAGAGCTGGAAGCAGCGCCCGTGAGTGTGTCACTAACGGGGATCCTGTAAGCGGGAGAGGCGGCGCAGGGCCACGGACGCTCGTCCTGGGATGCTGCCCGGATGGGGCTGGAGGCACGGCATGGCCCCTGCATTCCCCCTCGGCAGAATTCAGCCGGATGAAGCTCAGGTGATGCTCCAAGCATGCCTGGGAGGAAGAAGAGGCAGAACTGGAGACACCACTCCATTCTGACAGCCCCCTCCACCCAATCCCACAAATTTTGGCATCAGCACTGCTGGTCCCCGGGCTGGCTCCGTGCCGGGGCTGTATCCCAGGGGACAGGGGGCAGGGGTGGGATGCTGGTGACTGGCATGAGCCCCACTGCTCTGTGCGGGCTGCAGCATCAGTGTCTCCTCCTGGGGAGCAGCCAGCAAGGGGAGGTTTTCTCCTCCAAGGACCACCCCCTCTTCCCCCAGCTCGCCGCCTGCCTCAGAGTCTCTCGGCGGAGACG